TCATAGTGGCGTGTTCAAATTTAGTTTTTGGTATAAAAAAGATACTCTAAAAACTGTTTTACAAAACATCTATTGTAGCTGGTGAATTAATCAAATCAACCTAAATTTAATCAAACCAGTCAAAAAATGGTTGATTAGCCATTATAAGGCCATTTTTTGTGGTATTACAAGGCCATTGTGGAACACTGGCCAATATCTCAACACAAACAAAACTTACAAAAGTTATAGTGAAATTGCAACTTTTTTAAAATTCAAGTCAATGGTGTATTTAGGGATAATTTGAGTTTGCACCCTATTTTATTATCCAAATTAGACTTTGCATCCCATTTTTAAAAAACTTTGTGTTTGCATCCAACCCTATATGTAAAGACAAAAATGTCCCTCGATCGTGAATATGTTCGTTGAAGGCCAACAGAATAGTTAATGAAGGGGCATTTTTGTCTTTTCATACGCAGTTGGAGTGCAAATATAAAGTTTTTAAAACCGGGGTACAAAATCTAATTTGGACAATAAAATGGAGTGCAAACTCAAATGTATTTATTATAGGTAATCAAGATGGGATTTGGATATTAATTTACAGAGATTTTGGGACATGGCCAGTGGCACTATTGGGATCAAACAAGAGTGAAGTGGTGATAGAAGGGCCAGTGTGCGATTCTTCTTCAGGTGTAATTGGATGGCATTTGAAGAAAGTGAACAACCAAACAGATGAAAACCCTCCAATTAGGGTTTCCAACTTTGCCTTTAACAGTTCAATTCTTTGGGACTCCCAGAGATGGGGTCGTGCATCGTCTCTTCAAGACACCTCTCAGGTATATAATAATCAGAGTCGGTTTTTAGCACGTTCAACGTATTCTACAGAATAAGGCCTCCTGATTTATGGGGTCCCAATTTTTAGAAAATTCTTTAGTACTCCGTATTACATAGTAAAAATATATATTAATACTAATCAGTATAATAATTTTTTCTGTCAGTCCTTGTACTCTTGTTTTACTCAAACTGATTGAGTGATGAGTTGTGTTGCTTTAGATCAAGTATTAAGTGTTTTTTAGAAATTTTTATTACAATATCTGATAAGTATTCAATTGATTTGAGTATAAGTATTTAAATTGATATTTTTTAAACATTTTTTATATTAATATGGGCCTCAATTTTACGTTTGGAACGGGGCCTCCAAATTCATTAGACGGATCTTATAATAAATACGGAGTATTGTTTACTTGTTTGAACTCCCCCATTATTACCGTTTTGTTATGCCAATATAATATCTTCTTTTTATGGGAAAGGGGGCAAAAAAAACCCTCCAAGTTGTCCCCAAAGGGCATCTAAGCCCTTAAACTATTTTTGTGTGCAAAAAAGCTTAAAAATCAATAAAAGGAGGGCAATCACCCCCTTAATAACGGTGAGCAGTTAACGGAAGTGTTTCCTTACTTCCTTTGGGTATTATGACCGTATGTCCGTATGTAGCATAATTTTTTACTACGTATATTTTTTCTTTTAATTTAGTTTGGTCCTACAACGAGGACATATTTGCTCTCTTTTTGAAAATGTTAGATGTTGAATTTTAAAATATTCACATGCTATACTTAACTATACTTTCTTTATTAATGTAGTGAGAATTTATTATTTTTAAAAATATTTTTAAATTTGTTTCATTGTAATTTTTTTTTGTTTTTTATTTCTAGAGAATTATACTCGCTTCGTCTCTGGATTAATTTTTCAAATATCCTTTTTTGTTTGTCTCAAAATAATCTTTTCTTTTGCAAATAATTTATGGTTCACAATATGTTTTACACATTCTTACACCTTCTTCGCTCTTCAGTATAACGCTCTACCATACAATTTCGCTTTTTTCATTCCCGTGCAAAACCAACTTTGGAAGATAATTCAGGGACGAATGGAGTATATATTACTACGTAATAGTCAAAGTTATGGGAAAAATATTAATTGTCAAAGTTATGCAATAACAAATATGAAATGTGAACTTTGATACTTATTTTAAAACGGGAGAAGTATTATGCGGTTGTCAATTTATCATGATTAACAAATACAAGATATCCATTAAAAACAAATACACTACAAATTAATTGGTTTAATGATAATCCAGTGAACCCAATAAACGTGATAGCACTTGTGCTGTGATAAGATATCTTCACTAAATTCTTACTCATCTGTCCCACTATATTTGTGACAATTCGGTTTACGATGTTTGACCGACAGTAAAGCAAACAAATTCATGTCTTCAATCAAATTTTTTTAGAAAAAAATTACATAATCAGAAACTACATTAAAAACTTTACAAAGTCGCAAAAATCAGAATCAAATTTGATTAAAAAAAATTAATATATAAAGTAACAAATTAAGAGTGATTTGTGTTGATCAAGTGAATAGTGTCTGAGATAATCTTAGCGGGATGGAGGGAGTAATATTCCATTTTTTTCTTTTTTCTTTTTTTTACTTCAAAGGGCATCTGGGGGGGGGGGGGCCGGAGTAATTGGGGCTGAAACTCATTCCATTGAGTTTCGGACCCGAGACCTCCCGTAAGGGAGAGTGAGTCGGCGACCAGCTCGGTTGGACCGCTTCCTCATTCTTAATATTCCGTATATTTTTAAAAACCGAATAAAATCGAATCGAACTAAAAAATCAATAAATTCTTATTGTATTTTTAAAACGTGACAAGTTCAAACCGAATCAAACTGAAGTATAGTATGTTTTTTCTTGGGTCACGGACTCACGGACATAGGCACAGCTGCATAATGTGTGTTTTTGAATAACGGAGGAATTGACAACTCCGTAATACTTTGTAATACTTCGTAATACTTCTCCCGTTCTTAAATAAGTGTCAAAGTTCACATTTCATATTTATTAATGCATAACTGTGACCATTAATATATACTCCATTTATCCCTGAATTATCTTCCAAAGTTGCTTTTGCACGAGAATGGAGAAAAGAAAAATTGGGTAGTGGAGATTGTACTGGAAACATGTAACAATGTGTAAAATATGTTTTGAACCACAATTTATGTTGCATTTTTTTAGACTGACGAAAACGGAAATTTGAAAATTAATTCAAGGACGGAGCAAGTGTAATTCTCTATTAATCAAAACATAAAAGAAATTGTAAATTTACAATGAGACAGATTTAATTTTTTTAAAAAAAATCATTGATACATTAATAAATAAAACGTAGTTAAAGTAGAGCATGTGAATATTGTAAAATTCAGCATGTTGCACTTATTTAAAAAGAGATGACATATGTCATAATTTTAGGACCAAAATATTCTAGATTTACTTCTTTAATAGAGGACAAACTGAAATTAAAAGAAAAAATATAAAAAATATTGTCAGATTAAAATTGTGCAACATACGGTTAAAATGACCAAAGGAACAACTTGGAACAACTTCCGTTAACTGCTTCAGCGTTAGTAAGGGGCTGGTTGCTCTCCTTTCACTGATTTTGAGGCTTTTTGCACACAAAAATAGTTTAAGGGCTTAGATGCCCTTTGGTGACAACTTGGAGGGTCTTTTTGCCCCTTTTCCCTCTTTTTATTATGAAGACCAATCTATAATGAAAACATATAGACTTAATTTTAAAGTAACATATAGTTCCTATAAAAAAAAGTAACATGTACTCCGTAGTTTTTATATACTCCCGTGTGACCTTTTCTATAAATATTTTTCATGACCAATATTGTATAGACAAATTGTATCAAGTATGATGGCTGCTCCATCGCATTATATTTTAAGAATTTTAAGAATGAGAAAATGTTTGGCGGACTTAAAGGAAAAACAAGACATCTAGCACCATTGAGAATCAAGTGATATAAAAGACATTAACTACGTGGATTAGGTACAATATATAATCTTACCGTAAAAAAAGGTACAATATATAATGAAACTCACGTTGGTTCAACTTTTATTACAGTTCAATGATTTATCTTACTACTGTTTACAGGATTCATTAAAATTTGCAAGGAAGGAGTTGATTGAAGATGAAGCCAATGTGATGGGTATTCCACAAGAAGATTGCTCAAGAGTCCTCTTATGGAATCTCCGAGTTTCAAAATGAAGAAACATTTTTGTGAATTTGATTAAGTAGCCAATTGTTGTGGGTAGTTAAAAGCCAAAGATCATGCATGGCAAGCAGATTATGAAGAAACCCACTTGTTTTTTTCTTTGCAAAATCTTGTATTAATACCTTTGGCACTTCTTAATGTGAAGTATTATAACTATTACTCATTTGAGATGTTTTAAGTTGAACTTGTTCCAACTTCCAACCTTTTCCCGACAAAAAAGCACTCGATAAAGACAATGATAAAAATCCACATATATGAGTCATATATGATATATCAAACCACACTTAAAGTGAAAACATCCTTAATATGTAGGTAACTTGATATGCACTATGCCACCTTCTAAAGTCTAACTTGATTTCTGCCGGCCGGGCATAGTTTTAAAACAATGGTTTCTGGTTAATTTCTAGCACTTCAGAAATTAAAACATAGCACTCGGTTTTTAAAAAGAGGGAATGACATTGCAAGAACTAAATTGTTAATTACTCCGCATTTCGATGCACAACTCACAACTGCCAAGGTATGGGATATGATTGAGCTACGTAATTAATAGGTTTATAAAACTTGTATACCAAAAACTCCTCCACATTGTAGTGGTACCAAAGAACCTATTCTCAAGTACCTGGGAGGATATATTTTTTTCACCATGTTTCTATTTTGTGGTCACCTGGCGACACAAAATGAGCAATTCAGTAGTCACCTGCCACACTCAGAGAAAGACTGCTATATCACTGTCTTCACAATGGCTATGCTGCTAGAAGTGAACCTCCATGACCATGATCAACCCCAACCTAAATGTACTCCTCTCAAGAATCTATACATAAGCTTTCCAAGGCCAAAAGAAAGCCCTATTTCAATATTTATATACATCACGGCATTGAGTCATTAAGTGACAGATGAGGAAACAACCAGCTCATTCTGTGGAAATGAAACCTCCTTCTCCACCATCTTCTGCTGTTGAAGCATCATCATAGATGATGGCTTTGATGGTTCCTTGTGGTCTTCCAAAAAGGGTCGAGAACATTTGTCTATGGCATTCGTTGCAGAAAAAGAAATAGGACAAGTGCCCCTCTCCTGGCAATTTATGCACAAAGGCATCTGTAAGAACCCTAGAGACGTATTCGGTCATTGGTGGCGGGACAACATGATCATCCATTCCCTGTTGCAAACACCGGAGAGACATGTTAATAAGAGTCCATTTGCTAGGGTTTGTATTAGGCTTATTAACCAATTATTACCTCTAAACACACAGAAAAATCAGTGCACTGAATCAGCTTATAATGAAAATAAAGGTAATGCATTACTCATATTTTTGGCTGAAATGGACATGTTCGGTATTTTAGATACTCCGTATTATTTTCTATAATATTTTAAAGTTGCCTTTTTATAATTCTACACAGATCGAGTCATTTCAACCACAACCTCAACGATCTCAAGATATCTACTTCAACCATCTTAAGCCTTACAAAACAGGCTCTAAGTTTCATGAAGAATAGCATTAGGCTCAATGGAGAAAGTTTGCTTGTGAGAGCAAAGATCTACTAACCTGCCAGATGTGAATTGGTCCAAGAAATCCAGTCAATTCACATTTTGGTTGACCATAGATGAACTTTAGCCATGGGAGAAATCCAAAAGAGTCACATTTTTCTTTAACTTGTAAATCCCGTAAGCTAAAATCCCAATTGGACACTTGCAACACAGTTTCCTCAACAAACGGATTAACTTTCCCCTGACGGATAGACTCTTCAACATCCCGGTGCCAGAATTCTATAAAGGCTGGTTCCTCAATTAGAACCCTATCCTGCAATAATACCATGTGTTGAAAGATGAGGTAAGCACCAAGCATCTAATGATTAGAAAAGATCAAAAGAACATCTTTGTTTATAAGAAATAGCACCAAGATTATCAAAACCACATGACACTCGCTCTTCCTGTCAATGTCACAATAGCTTGTGAATATAAGCACTGCACATGACTCTTTGATTGCTTAGCATGAGTTTTGGAGGAAAGTAGTAGGCAAGGAAGAAATTGAGGGAAAATAATTTTAGTTGTTGTTTGGATTGAGAGGAGATAGGGATGGGAGAAATTCTCATGCGGGACCCTCACCCAAAAGGGAGATACTTCTCAGCTTATTTTTCTCTTATTTTTTAATAATTATTCCAGTCAAAACACACTACAGGTCTACACATTTTCTCTTCTCTCATACTTCTTTCCGTCATATTTCTCTATTATCTGAAAAAAGCATATATATATATATATGCACACATACACACAAATTTAGAATCTCAAGCTGGTTCATGACTTGACCTATTGTGTCACTGATAATTAATCAAAGATTCAACGATGCAATTCAAAAAACAAATATGAGATGTTGTACACCATGGCTATGTTGCAACAATGCAATAACCAATTAAGCATACCTCACAGCTACTAATAATGTTACATGAAAGCAGATAAGACTCTAAAGAGGCAGATAGATACATTACCTTCTCTCCCAGTGATAAAGACAACCTTTCATCAATTTTACCATGCTGCCCAGAGAGGAATGCTTTGCGGTACATGGGGCCTAAAAACATCGGAAATCTGCGTGCTAAACCAAATATTAGTTTCCTTCTTGGCATCCAGTTATCCCACATTACTGTCATTTCATCATGTGTCATGCTTGAATCATATGGATTGACTAGGGGAGCAATCATGGCAGCACCTGTAATTAGACCGAAAACATCACTAAGGCCTTTTTAGTAAGAGCATTATTCGGCTAGAATGGGCGAATCTGCTGAGTTTTATTAGAGATGAAGTGCATGGAAACCTTCATTAAAGCCAAATAAGTATAAGCCCAAATTGCTAATTATGGGCTAATTATAATTAGTCTTTTGATAAGCAGAATAAGCAATAACTAACTACCAGCAGAGCCTACGATTCAGTTAGAAGAGCTAGGGCCTTCATTAGCCGTTAATATATCATCTTCATGGCATGTTTCGAAGGGACACCACGAAACTTATCCAACCAAAAAAACACTCACTTTGGGCGTGTTTGGATGGAAGGTTTTGGAGGGCTTTAGAGGGAAAGTCTTCAGATGGCTTAGTCTATACCTTGATATATATACTAGTATTAAATACTTCTAAAAATTGAGAGATTAATATTTTAATCGCCTTTTTTAAAGATACATTCTATTTGGTAAGATATAATTGTAGGCCCTCCAAAACCTCCAATCCTTACAGACCCTAAGTGCCATATTATACATGTTGATATATAAACAGAGTAACATATGACTTAATAAAATGCCAACCATATTACCAGCAATTCGATTGGGAATGTAATTGAGTGCAGCCCAAGCATGAACAGCTCCACTTGAATAACCAAATACCCAAAATTTACCATTTACTCCAACACTATCTGCCAAGAATGCCATATCCAGAGCTGATGTGTTAAGATTCCTTTCAGGGTGAGGGTCACTCTCACCAAAACCTGGAAGATCATAAGTTATCAATTGAACACCAAACTCCTCCAGCAGTGACGATTTGACTCCTGGTATGCCTTCTCACATGAAAAACCAAATGATTGTTTAGTCATTTATTATAAATGCATTAATCCCAATAATAAATTTTAATGACACCTCTACCTGCAAGCCTAGAAGAGAGGAGCCCATGAGGGATGATTAGGGAATGTCTAGCTTTATCAGATGGAACCCCTAGTGCCTGATATGCCATGTGCCTGCCATCTGGAAGTACTATCCTGGTGGCACTAGGAGGATGAATGCGCACTCTCTTAACTTCTACTATGCCCATAGTATCCCTTCTATTATTTACACCCAAAACTGCAAAGCTTTTAAAGTTTTAGGATAATGATTAAGGGATGGCAATTGCAGCAATCAACTAGGGCTTGTTTGGATGGAGGGGCTTAGGTAAAAACGTTTTGGAGGCTTAGTCTATATCTTCTAAATACATACTTAAGATTTATAAAATACTTGAAAGATTGACATGATCGAATAGGTTATAACATGACATCATTTGTGAAAACATTCTGTTCATCAAGAAATAGATTATATCGACCAAAGGATCCATCCAAACAGACTCTAGGGAAACAAAAATTCGGAGGCCCAACCTCATGGATGATGGGTGCCAAATATGTTAATATTCAAAACAGGTTTCCATAATCATTTGTGAAAAGAAGCAATCCGCTGACAGTTTGGAGTTATATATGAAGAGAAACTATTCGCGGACAGTTTGAAGTCTGAACAACAACAAAACTCCGACTAATAATGGTATCTTTGGGAACTGTGCGGGGAGCTTGAAAGTGTGCCAGTGTGAAGGAACATAAGATAGGACAGTCGAGAAACAGATAAAGGGAAAAGAGAAAAGGAACTCAATACCAGAAAATGCCAAAAAGAAGACGAGCAAGATAACCGACCAAGCGTGCACCGGATCCCGATCCTCAGGCAAGTATTCGTTGAAGAAACTCAATCTCTTCGAAACCGCGGATATCGGCCTTTTCGTTTTCCGCACAATGTAGGAGTTCTCAGTGAACAAGCTCTGCCTCACCACGTCCTTGCATACCTTCCCCAACTCCAGCAACAATTCCCCCCATGCCTTCACAAAACCCTTGATTTGGTCCTTCGTGCTCTCTTTCTCCTTCGCCGGCTCGCTCTCCGGGAACAAAAACACCGACGGCCTCTTCGCCTCGAATGCAGGCGCGGCACCGTCAACCCCACCGCCACCGGGGTCGTCCATCAAGCTTGCCAACTCGTCTCGCCAGGAGCTAGATTCCACTTCCATACCCTCCGTCATCCCGAACCCCTAATAAAAAAGTGAAATGATACCCCAAATATGAAGATGCTGGAAGAGGACGATAAGTAAAGAGTTCATATAAAGGGAGGAGCAAGGCGGTGGCGGAAAGCGGAAAAGGAGGGCGGCTGGCTTAGCTGTAAAGAGTCACCATAATGTCACTAACCATAGTCTTACGCCTTTACTTAAGATCATTATCAGTCCTGATTATAGATTACTGATTAACGATTAACGAAGATGAGTTCCATTAATGCTGCTTAGCAAAGAAGTACTCTGTAATAAGTATGTTTGCCCGGGAAGTGGATAAACCCGATATAGCATGAATACGAATTTAGCAATGATCAGAATCTGACGGTTCAAAATTTCAAATACAACTATCTCTGTCCGTCGGAAATCTGGATGTGTGATAAGTAAAGTCAAGACTGATGTTTTTCTTTCTGCTTCAAAAAAATGGTTTTTTTAATGGGAATAACTTAGTAATAAGTTCGTCTTTTAGGAGTTGCAATACATGTTTAGTATCGGAATCAATTTTTATAAGGGACCCCAAAAGTTTAATATGTAGTTATATGTTGATTTTTCTATATGTTATGTGCTATTCAAAATTCCAATTTTTTTATAACTTTTAAATAGTCTAGTGTAAGTACTTCAAACATTATAAAACTTATATTTAACTGAATTATCTAGTATGTTTATATTTCATTATTAAATTTTGTATTTTTTCTTGTTTAGGGGGGCTCAATTGGACTTTGGAACCGGGTCCTCCAAATTTATTAGACGGCTCTGCCTAACAACAGTTATGACCATTTCAAGTTATTATTGCCAAAAATAATTGCAATGTTAGGCAACTAGGCACCGGGCAAGGGTGGACTCAAGAATGAGAGATAGGGTGATCTAAGATAGGGTGGACTCAAAAATGTTTATCGTCGGAGTTTAGCCAGAGGCAAATCAAAGAGGGTAGAACTTCATAAAGCTCATATAAGGTGAGTTGGCGGCTTAATGTCTTATAACTCTTGGATTAAGTACGAATTTATCTAAATATATGTTATTATATGTTTTTGTGATTATGTTTAAAAGTGTTTGAGCATGTGCTTATCTATGGTTATTGAGTTTATATGAACTAATATAATATACATGTAAATGATCTAAAATGTATATAAAAAATATATGCAATGTTTTGAGTGGCCATAAAGACATATATTAATTGTTATGGCTTAGTACATGTCGTGGTTAAGCTTCATAAAGACTGGTCTTGAATTGATTAGTCAACGAAGCATTGACTGATTGTAAAACAGAAAAGTGACGTCTTTTAGGGCTAGAACTAGCGTCGATTATAGTATGGCATTGGTATCCTAATTAATTTAAACAGGATCGGCACCGGCTATAGGCAGAACCGCAGAACCGACGTCGGTTATGTCTGACTTTGTCCAGAATGGTTTGTTTTGCATGGATTGTTTTGCTTAGGGTGGGTTTGGGTACAACTAGCTGAAAAGTTACTTTTGTGAGTTTTTCAGAAACTGTTAGTTTTCGGTGACTGAAAAGATCTTGAAAGGAAAAGGTGATAGTTTTTTGGTAAAAAACTGACTGTTTGATTTAGTTTTGTTTGGTATACAAGCTGTTTGGATTAATTAATGTAAAAGTCACAGAGTTTTCTCAGATGTCACTCCCTGTAACATCTCAAAAAAAATCTTTTATTTTTTTAAAAAGTTCTTAAATATTGCCATGTCAAACATACAACTAGAAGCTTTTCGAGACTTTTTAAATACGGATGTTATGTAATGTTATGATATATACCCTATATATGTATGATATGTGGTAGATCATAAGTTATGCCGGAGTACCCAATGACGGGAATTATCCTCAAAACACATAGGTTATTAGTGGAGTACTCAGGGACCGTTTTTGTCCTCATAATTCAGAAACAATTGGTGGAGTACCCAAAGACGAGAATTATCCTCAAAATTCATAGAATTCGGGTCAGTACCCTGGACCGGGTGGTGTCCTAAATACTAAATTGGACTGGGATGAGTCCTCTACACTCATAGGTATTTGGGTGAGTATAGAAATGAATAAGTCAAGGACTAAGACTAATGTATATCCCCAAGCAAACAAATGTGACATACGAGTCAAATATTTTTTAAGTGTATATACTGATATGTATTCAAAGACTTGGGGGAAATTATACTTTTATGTATCACCCTATGTTCGAGCTTTATGCGTGAAACGTTAGTTTTCTATATTTAGCTTGCGTCTCTCCAGTACAAGTGTACTTACCACTTTGGGGACCCTCACCACTTTTGAGGTTGAAACTAGAGCTTGTTAAATGCACCTTTACATCGGGTGGTGTGATCAAGGAAGACGTGGTTTGTGTTTCCCGTTCATATTTTACAATAATAAACCATGCTCGTGGATATTTGGATTTGATGTAAACTATTTTGAGCCTGCAAGCCCACGTTTTGTCGTGTGTGGCATGTGATCAAACACATTATATTTCTTCTTTAATGTTTGACTTAATGTTATGTTGTTATGTATGTTTATTAACCCAACCTATTATGAACTAAGTTCGTGGATGCCCTGTACAACTAAGTGAGTGTGACTTACGGGTGATGAGTTCTACAACGGTTGATAGTGTACTTAAACGCGGTCTGGGGTGTGACAATACTTATCTTAACATTTAAACGTTTTCAGCGCGATTTTATGAATTTATCAATGATTACTAAAGATAGATTCGAGTATATATTGAATAATTCGTACACGAATCCATAAACGAGCATAGTCTAATTTTCTACATTTGAGCATGTTTATTGAGCTTTTCGAGCGTTCGAATCCAATACAATAATCTATCAAGCCAACCCTGAGCTCCATTTTGTAGTAGCTAAATACTAGCTCATTTCATTGTTTCGGTGTAACGTATTAATGATAAGTTCACATGCATAACATATGACCATTAACATGTTAAACTTTTGTATATAAAATTGTTCTCTAATAATATATTGTATATGAAATCATAATGTATTATGTAGTAAAAAATTACAAGGGCTAAAACTATGAATTATATTTTAAATTAATCTTCAAGACCTTCATTTAGTTGGACTTTTTGATTTTTTTTGGACTGGGCCAAACAACATTTTTTAATAAACATATACTCATAAATAAAAAGAACTAGCCGTGTTGGAACCCACACTAGCCCTTACTATCATCCGCCCTGGTTATAGACATTAACATGGTTATATTTACTGTCATATCTTCATCAGATATCTTAGATTGGAGAATAATATGATGGTTTTTTTCCGGTCACAACAGTAATGACTCTTATTTTGGGAAGAAAATTATACTCATGTTTTGAAATTCGAAACATGTTTACTCATGTTTTAGGACAATTTCTCTAGAAAAAATGATAAACACAATGTAGTAATAATCGACATAAGCACAACTCACCAAATTCAAAATGGAAAAAAATCTTGGATTATGGGTAAAAATGTTTGGAAATTCTAAAACAAGTCTGTTATACCCCCCAATCAGAAAGAAGTAGTTTCAATTATGAAAATAATGACTCTTATTTGGAAAATAAAAATATATTACTTTAATTTTTATATTTCAAAACGTTCTAACTCTTATTAGGACAATCTCCCATTCAAAATAGAAAGAATGACTATAATATGACTCAGATTTTTAGTAGATAAAAAAGTTCCGATTTTAAATGAAAAAAGAGGCTAAATAGAATTGAAAAGATAGCATTACCCCTAATATATACGGTATTTATTACAAATAAAATCATAAAGCTACCTTCTCTCTTTAGTTGCCCCGCCTTTATCCTCCATCGATGGACGGTTGATCTGATCCCTCCAATTCTCCTCATTTTATTAATACAACATACTAATTGTTACTTCTTCCATCAAAGGTTCTCATTTTATTTTATGAACTATCACTTTTAATGATGAATTGAAGATTAGCCATAAAACAAATTAAAAAAAATATGTCTATAACACCATAGTTATTATCATCAATGACCTTATTATATTATATATCCATCAAAACTACTTATTAAAATACATTCAAATAACTTTATTTAATCATTTTCTAAAGGGGTTTTTACCAAAAAATATTGTTACAATAAAATATATTTACAAAAATATGACTTATAGTTACTACAATGTCGTGTCATGATAACTTAAGTTTAAAAAATGAACAAAGTTGCTATAATTCCATTACTACTCTAGTCACATTTTTGTAAACAATCTTTATTTTAGTTATAAATATATGTAATTATTTGTTTTTTAAATGATTGTGCTATTTTCAATGAAAAGTTTAAGTTAGGATGGAGGTAATCCTTCCATTCCATATTTCAATTACTTATGTTTGGAACTACTAAATCAAACCTCACATACACTTATATGATAGCTATGCTTAAAAACACACCATTGTTTTAGGGATTCATAATTCAAGTGCGCCATTGTACGCGCACACACATTACATGGCATTGCACATAATTTATCGCGCGTTATGCACGCCGAAAAAGTAATATCTTAAATATAGAAGGGTTTAAGGTGTCAAACTTCCCCGTGATATAAAACATTATGCATTAAACCTTGTGAATTTAAAAATGCGCCAACCCCCCGATGTCATTATTGATCATGCATAAAAATTACGAATCAACGACTTTAACCGTCTATAAATCAAGCGTTTTAGTGCTATTGTCAAACATGCACGCAAAATTGTTAAGTTCCGTAAATTAAACAAAAATATTAGGCATTTTATTATTTGATTGCTAATCTTGTTGTTTGTGTATGTTAATTATGTACATGGTTATTTATAACACAACAAAGTTTACAAAGTTTATTAAGGCTAATGTGCATAGTTTAAATATCATGGGGTGATTTGGCGCATTAAACTTAGGAGAACATGCTCGTACATCTTATTTTCGATTTAACAAAGTTATCAGCTAAATTTTTTATCATGCACATGACTTTTAATTTGACGCGCTAAATTGTGTAATACTTTCTCTTTATTCTTTTGTTTGATATAATTCCCCTTTGATAAGTTTTCGCTTTATTAATATGAATTATTCTTACTTCTTCCACTTTTACATACATATTGTTTTTTTTTTCATATTTTTTCCACCATTCCTCGTACCATTTTTACATTATTCACAACTTCTATTTTTCCCTTTAAATATAGGTGAAGCCTTAGAGCATCTCCATTCATGATACTCAAGTTTACGGTTTTTATGACTTTTTATTGCCATGTCACTTCCACATCAGATTATCTCAAATAATCTCCAAACCTGTCAATTTCTTTTCATCCCTGATTAATTTACCTAGAT